ACATGGGCTGATGAAGCGTTCGTATCAGTGTAGGGCAACGTGCGTATGTCTGTCAAGCGCGTTCACTCTACTGCTCGTATTCCTTTCCAATTTTACGCCCCTTTCTCTCGGCAGTTTTTTTTTTCCGTTGCACGTTTACATCACCTTACCTTCTCATCTTGGGTAACTCTTATCCGGTTTCTCGGGGGCCATCCAGCGTAAAAATGATAACCTTTTCTCTTCGTTTCTCTTTGAACTATATCCCTAAATCTTTTTAGTGCACTCTTAAGGCTGTTTTTCTCCTTCACAGTTTTTAGCGCCTCGTAATTATCATAGACATCGGTTATGGCTCCATTTGCGTTGCATTGAGCTGTGTTCCCCAGATTTTGCTCCCTTATCGAGGTGAAGAATTTCTTTTTGGCAAATCCTGACAAGCAGAACGGCAACACATGCGGAGGGATATGAATAAACTAGCTATGCATAGTGACCAACTAGTGTGTGACTTGGCCCATTCATGTTCCTGTGTTCCGTGGATAAGGGAAAATGAGTAAAGTGTACATTCCCCCCTGATTTTCTTATTACGCATTACGTGTAACTGTCCGAGATAGGGAATGAGCAGGAAACATCTTCGCGCGTTTTTGCGAGGTGAGTTGTGTCTGAGGAAATAATCGCGTACACACGTGGTACTCATTTGGAGTTGCCACGGGGGAGAAGTGTATTAGCTTCTTGGGGTTTCCACAATTAGAGGACCCCACAATTGGGGTTCGCAACTAATATTGCGGTCGAGCCCTTCCACTTCGAGTGGGTAAACTTAGACTCCTATTCGCGGCATAAAAAGGGGAAGGAAACCAAAAGTGCACCATTCGGGGAGCTAAAAAAAAGAAGCAACATTCGGAGTTATAGCTGCTCCTTTTCTAAAATGTGGATTTAATTGGCGAAGGAACGAGTATCTTCCATTAGCTCATTTGTTTGTCCCCCACAGGTGGCCAAACTGTTCACCATTACGTTACCATCATTTTGGCATTTTTTTTTTCCAGTGAAACATCTGCTCCTGCGCAATTTCGTATTCTATTTTTTGTTTCTTCAAAATGTTAACAAAAAAAAAAAAAAAAAAAAACAGGTGGTATGCGCCTCCGGGCTGGGGCTGCAATAAAAAAAAAAATACATATGGCAGGATTTTTGTCCCTGTCACCCTACTGCTGAAGCAGCTTCCACATTAAGGCGAATAATTTTACCCATTTCGGAGGTTAAACAAATCACGTTTTTATGTTAAAGGGGGTGGGGAGGAATAAAACAAATTTTACAAAAAAGGAAAACGCCATGTACACACATACAGTATTTTATAAACATTTTTGCAACGTTGTAAAAATGTACGCTATATGAATAGTTATCAAACAACTGTGTGTGAGGGCTAAGTGGGAGAAAGAAAAAAGAAAAATACACAAAAAAATGACAGCAAAAAAAAAAAAAACAGATTTAACAAGTCAAGGGGGAATTCCTTTTCTTAGAAAAAAATGTTATTATAACATTTCATAATTTTCTTCCCTCTCAAATGCGTTTAGATGGTACATGTACTCTTTGTTCTCCTCCAGGTTGATGCAAATCTCCGAGGTCGTTCCTTTCAGATCGGTTATGTCCTGTGGAGTGGGGAATAAACGGGCGAAATAACGTGAATGCATGGTCACTTGTGAACATTCCCACAGGGCATAATTGCGACGCAGTCTTTATTAGCGTTGTCCTTTTTCTCAACTGTGCCGCAGGCAGTGCCGCTCCACTTCTCCTGCCGAGTGAAGAACCTCACCTGCTCATTCTTCACAAGGGTGTTCCTCAACGAGTTGGTAAATTCGTTATCCGCGTGCAGGAACTTCTGAAGGTTCTTTTTCTCCTGCACAAGATTTTTTATATTTTTGTTAATTTTTTGCAGCTGACTGTCTATATTGAAGGAGTTAAAGAAATCCAAAATTTCCATCAACTTGAATTTATTAAATTCATACTTATTGGAAAAAAAAACGGCGTTATTTTTTAACATAAAAAGTTTGTCCAATATGTCTAGTCGGAATAGTAGTCTCTGAATAATACGTTGTGCTTTGGTTTTTATTTCGAGAAAATTATTTTTTATGATATACAAAATGAACAAAAGATTTTCATTATTCTTCTTAATATGTAATTTTCTTTTTTTAAGTATCTTTATATTTTTCTCCTGATGACTTAAGGCCATTTTCACTTTCTCCAAGTTGTAAATTGGTACAATGCAGAAGTTATTTTTATCGGGATTTTTTTCCACGGCCTTGGCGTACTTAGTTAATATTTCCTTCGAAATTAAATACTCATGTTTGTATATATGGGTGTTCCATATCAAATTGCAGAAGGAGCTTAGCAGCAGCGAGTTAATCACTCTGTTCTTCGATTCGCTCATCCCATCCTTCAGGTAAATGAAGTTCATCATGTACGGGTTTCTCTCAAACACGTACGTTTCCAGGTACGACTTGCACATGAATATTGTGCCAAGCTTCATCGAGATTTCCTCTAAGTGTATGTGTGTGGAAGGTGGGGATGGGTAGGTGCATGTTAAACGGGAATATACACACCGGGTGCAGACGCATACACAGAGTGGGCAAAATATGCCTCCGTGTGTCCAGCCTATCACGGAAGATAATCACATGTTGAAGCAGGAGGCGGGGTCCTTCTGTTGGAAAACCCCACCGAGACGTATGCAACATTTGGTGAACACGGACGTTTCTTCTCTCTGATTATTTACCACAAAGCTGCTCCGTCAGAGACTTCCTAATCTTTAGGGAGCTGTTAAAGTTGAATTTATTTTCAAAGCTAAAGTTTCCATTTTGGCGCTCAATTTGCGAATTGTTCTTTTCAGTGTCTTTCTTTAATTCATCGGCCTTTCCGCTGTTACTGTTGCTCACGTTACTGTTACTGGCACCGTTGGTATTCTGATTTGGATTGCCATTACTGGGGGGATCCATTATGGCAAAATTGTCTGCTTTGTTTTCGCCTGGAATCACGCCCTTGTTTAACACACCTATGAAGCCGCTTTGAGCCGATGTGCCTTGACTTGTCAATAGGTTTGTTTTGTTACCAAAATTATTAACCACACTGGGTGCGTTATTAAAAGTGCTGCTCAATCCAGCAGCCCTGTCATTTTGTATATTATTTGAAGAAACGAGTGCAGGTTGTGATCCCACCTGGTTATTTAATGGGTTCCTCACATTTGAATTGCTTACATTGTTTGGGGCAAAAGCGCTAAATGTATTCATCTTTTTTGCTTTTTTTTTTTCTTCTTTTTTACATAACTACGTGTGATGTGTTTTTCCTTTTTTGGGGCGCAAGGTGATGCTTCGATTTGTTCCTCTATTGCACACGTAAATATATATATGTACTGGCGTACGGGTCGGTAGAAGGGTGGAAACGAATATATATACGTCCGTTTTTGCTCGCTTTCGAAGGGGCTTTTCTCCCCTTTTAATTTTTCAAAATTGGGAGGTCATATTTCCCACGCATCGTCTGTACTCGTGCAAGCAGACTCCTGATGGAAGTTCGTTTCTCCCAGAATGCATATATACATGTGCATTTGCGTGCTAACGCAGGAAATGAAAGGGCGTTGTCCCCGCGGTTCAGACAATCCGCCTATTTTAGAGGAACTTGCTTAGTGGGGCGAATGAACACGAATGGAAGCATCTCCTAGGGTCATGGAAGGGCGGACGGAGGCTACTTAAACAAAAATGAAGAAAAAAAAAAAAGAAATCTAAGCTGTGAAACGAAGGGAACTTTGCAGGATCGATGACATATTAAACGCAAACGCATGTACGTGTATTGAAGTACTTATCTGTAATATGCCCCTTGTTTATTTTTGTATACTCTTCTTTTTGATTAATCAGAAAATTTCCACCCCATTTTTGACAAAAAAAAAAATGTTAAAAATGTATTTTTTGTGAAAGATGAATATATCTTAATTATGCGAAAAATATGACAAAAAGAAATGAATTCGCAACTTTGCGGAAAAAAAAATGTTTAGGGAGAAAAAACAAGCTGCGCAGATGGGCTTAATTTTGTTAATTTCATATTTACCGACTTCGTTACGCGCAATGGGGAAGGGAAATAATATGATGGTACGCATATAATATGCATGTATGTATATGTATTTTTTTTTTCTTTTTTTACCTCTGGAAGGAAAATCTTCGCATAATGTAACAAACCGCCGCGCTTTTCGAAGCCTTGACTGAAGTACAGGTACCTGGTGAGGCTTAACCAAGAGCTGCCACTCTGTTGTGTTAAGATATACCCTAGGGTATGAGTTGCCACTACGGAGGTAAGCGCATCCACCAAGAAAAAAAAAATTGTTACATATAGTTGCATATAGTTGTATGTAGCCGTATACACACGTAATGAATTATACAGGATGAGAATTTACCCCCACCCCATTTTTCCGAATGGGGGACCAGCCTAAACGTCCGATGTGGAAAAATCCGAGTGATTGTCTCTCTTAAGAGAAGCTTAAATACCCCAACGAGTGAAAATTCACCAAAATGGTTTTGTCTCAGTGCGTGGCAATTGAAAGCATGTCAGCGCGTATAAAAAAATAAAAGAAATAGGATCTTTTTGGCAGTTTGAGAATTTTTTTTTTATTTTTTTTCTTTATCGTGCATATTTAGCCTTACATTTCACAAATGAATATGCGGTGAGTTGTTCTGCACATGTGTGGCTCGCAAGAATTATTCCACTGTATGTCGCAAACGGGACTTTTATATGAGACACGTGGAAATAACGTTGTTTCGCTGAAGTGGGGAATTTCCAATTCGCATGAAATTGTTATGCAGAATGGCACTTATCTTTAACTTTTTAAAAAAACCACTTCGTTATTGTTATATGCGGGGAATAATGCTTCTTTTTTTTTTCTCCGCACTTGGGCTTACGGAATTGTCTTAAGTAAGAAACAAATTAATTCGTTTCGATGGTGTGATGAGGAAATTATTTTTTACTTAAAGAGGTACAGATTTTTGCACACATAAAAAGGAAAAAGAAAAAAAAAATACCAACTAATGTGTTTTATAGAATCCCTAAATTGACGTTTTCGTTTGGCGCAAACTTCTAAAAAATGAGGAATAGGTGGGGAAAAAAAGCGCTTAAAAGATATACTCTTCTTTTAATACGTCAAGAGGGGTCCAATTTAAAGGAAAAAAAAAAAAAAGAGAACACTTGAGGCCATTAACAGATGAACGAAGCTGTTTACAGAGGTATACTACACACCGTTGCTTAAAAGTGTAACCAATCTTGTGGTGACCTTTCCCATTCTTGGCATTTTACTTTTTTGAAAAACGCATTGGCCAAGCCGATGCATGTCCACGCGGAACTGCAACAAAGGGAAAAATGAGTGAGACGCAAAGGTGGGTACATATGGCTCAAGGGCACAATGACAGAATGGGAAAAAATTCGAACCAATAATGTGCCAAAGGGGTAAATCGCAATTGGGCCCGTGTTATTGTCTTTTTTGTTTTTTGATAAAGGTTGCATAAAAAAGCCTTTCGCGTTAGATTTCCGGAGGGGGGAAATGTTCATAAAAGGTAGTGAATCTCGAAATTTTTTTTTTTTTCTTTTTTTTTTTTGCTTATTCCTTGTTGTTCTGTGGTGAGCTAGCCAAAATGCTTTTATTGGGGAGTCTTTTTTTTCACGTTATCATTTTTTAATTTTTCGCCCTTTTGCGGCATTATAGAAATGTAGTTGCATGCAAAAAAAAGATGCATCCAAAATGGCGCATCTGTCTTTGTGAAGCCCAAGGGAATTGAGACGCACATATGCTGAGAGAGTTTTCCCCTTTTTTCTGTCACTTTTTTCTCCGCCGTCGGCTTTGTTTTGTTTGTATACATGTAGGTTTCTTCTTGTCTCTGCAGAGATGGGCCCTTTGTGCGAGCCTGTTCGCGTAGAAGTTTCGCCCAGCTGATTTGATCCTTCACATTTGGCGCTTCACGCTTCATGGAATTTTTTTTATTTTTACATGTACACGCAGGATGCGCACTTGTCTCTTTTTGAACAAAGCATGCATTTGATTAAGTCTGTTTCTCGTCAGCAGAGCCCATTTTATCAGCAACATAATTGTATGTACGGAGAGCAAATTCCTTTTGTAAGCTTACATACATATTTGTACCCTTGTTTCTACACACAAGTTTATACTTCTCCACGCATTTGTCGCAAATTCTGATCAAAACGCAGGTTTATATGAAGCTTAGTTACCATTTTACAAATGTCTGATTTTTTTTTTTTTTTTTTTTTCTGTTATCTCTCATTTTTCATCACAAATGATTGACCCTTTTTTCTTATTTTAACATGATTATGTGAGAACAACAACAACAAAAAAAAAAAAAAAAATTAAAAGCTCAATTTAAATAAGCTTTTTCTTTTTAAACATGTAACTGTTGTGTGTTTATCAACTTGTTCCCTTTTTTTTTTTAAAAAACCCTTTTGCTACTTTTTTTTTTTTGGTATATATAATTTGTAAAAAGAAATATATTTACTTAGCTTGTCTTTATTTACACTTTTTTTTGTTTTCTCAAAAAATAAATGTGGAAATGTTAACTTGTCAACACAACGTTAATTTAAGTGAATATCCAATTTAACTTACGTCAGTTGATAAATGTGAGATATTTGCAACCCCTGCTCGCCCAAATTGGTGGAGACTCCAAACTGAACCAAAATAATTTTGTTTTTTCCCTTTTTTCCTTAACCTGAAGATCTTCAAACACGCATTTGTGAAACCTGTAAGCATTTTACTTCTACATATGTATCTTTGACCATTTGCATATGTTTACGTATGTGTGTATACATCTCTGTGTGAACGCACACTTCTGCTTCTCGGCGACCACATACACTCATCCGTGCGTGATGCGCTCCTTTATGTACTTTCGAGTGCCAGTTCAAAAAAAAAACAAAAAAATACACAAATAAATATACGCATAAGTACCTACACGCCAATACGTAACCCGTGTAACATGCTTGTTTTCCCCCCTTTTATGTGTCTCCTTACCACCACAGTTTATGCCCTATAGAGGATTTCAAGAACACGTCCCCCGTTAGAGGTCTTCCGCACTGCTCAACATAATCCTTTGCGTGGAAACGCCGCTCCAACGTTGAAGCTAGCCATTACGGCTTGGCCAAAAAAAATATAATTACCCGCGTCGCTGCGTCAGTGTACCCAGCATAGGCTTGCATATGCGTGCGTATAGACATACAATTTTTACAAATACCCACAAAAAAGCCAGCGCTTCCCTTTTTAAGTAACCCTCGTCCAAAACTATGAAGCTGCTTCAGAACAAAAGCTACCTTTTGGTGGTTTTCCTCCTGTACGTCAGTATATTCGTCAGAGGCTACGTAAAAGTTGTGGATGAAGTGAATTATACCGAAGAAGTATGTAGTGAGAAAGTCGATTTATACTTCCTACTTGACAAGTCGGGAAGTATTGGGCGGATCAACTGGATCTCGACAGTCATACCAATGGTAATGGAAATCGTTACACATCTCAACATCTCAAGGGAATCTGTCAACTTAGGTGTGTTTTTATTCTCAAACGATACAACTGAATTGATCAGACTTGGCAGTGACGCTTCTATTGACAAAAAACTAGCACTCGCTAAACTTTATGACTTGAAGCAAACAGACAGACCTAACGGTTCAACCAATCTGTCCTCTGCTCTGGAGACAGTGCACTACCATTTAAACGATCGAGTTAATAGACAAGATGCAACCCAACTGGTTATCGTATTGACTGATGGTGTACCAAACAATCAGTACAGAGCCTTTCAATTGTCCAGAGAATTAGGGAAAAGAAATGTGAAGTTGGGTGTTATCGGAGTTGGAAGAGGCATTAATCACCCTTTCAATAGACAAATGGCTGGATGTGGGCCCTATGAGGAAAAGTGTGCATTTTATTCCCATGCAGACTGGAACCGAGCCATGGATGTTATCAATCCATTTCTTCAAAAGGTGTGTAATGAAGTACAGAAGGTTGCTAATTGTGGTGCCTGGGGTGAATGGACCCCATGTAGTGTTAGTTGTGGAAAGGGAACACGCAGAAGATCAAGAGAATTGTTGCATGAAGGATGTACTACTGATATGACTCAGGAGTGTAATGAAGGAGAATGCCCAGTGATACCTGCGCCTATGCCCGTACCAGCTCCTTTCCCAACTGTCCCTGAAGATGCCAAGCCAGATAACAAGGATGACGACGATGACCATCCCAATTTTAAGCAAGGTCTAGATGTCCCTGATGTAGAGGATGAAATTCCAACTGAAAATGATAAGGCGGATGAAAACCCACTCGAAGAAAATTCCTCAGACTCAGAACCTAACTCTATACCTGAGCAATCAAACGACTCCCCATTACCCCCAAACGATGACTCTCAACCTGAGGTATCAGAAGACTCTCTATTACCCCCAGGAGATGACTCTCGATCTGAGGTAGCAGAGGACTCTCTATTACCCCCAGGAGATGACTCTCGATCTGAGGAATCAAACGTCTTTCCGCTACCCCCCTCAGTTCCTGGAGGTTCAACTGAGGAGCCCCCATCAGGTGTTCAGAATAAGAAAAATGACCAAGGAGAGTTAGAAACGGAGAAGGGAGTGCCCGAATACAAGAACACAAATGAACAGGGAAATTACAACGGTAACGGATATGGAAGAAGTAAAAATGAAATTCCAAACCCGATTGATAACGAAAGAGAGATGAACGAAAAGAGCGAAACGCATCATCCTAGTGGAGCAAATCCAGCTCATGATAGGTACCCCAAACCTCACCAAAACACATGGGGAAATGATAACAATACTGGGGAAAATTCGGACATTCCCAAGAATGGCGTCCCATCTGACTACGAACAACCTGAGAATAATGGAAAGAAGTCATCAAATAATGGCTACAAAATTGCAGGTGGAGTACTTGCTGGATTGGCCATAGTCGGCTGCTGTGGATTCGCGTACAATTTCGCAGCTAACGGAGGTGTTGCAGGAATGGGCGGTGAACCTGCAGCCTTTGATGAGGCGATGCCTGAAGATAATAAAGAAGCTGGGGACGAGGCAGACCAGTTCAAGCTACCCGAGGATAACGATTGGAACTGATGGTGATGTGGAAGGAGTAGGGCTGTAGTGCGCACATAGTAAGCTAAAGGCCCGCGCAGGGGGGAGACAAGCACAGGCACGTATGCAAACGTATGTACATATATACCTACATATGTAAGCACGTAACTACGCTTGTGTGTGCTTCCTCTTGCGCCCTCACACCCAACTACAAAAGCAATTTTTAAATAGCTGCGCACAAATTTAGAACGATGTTCTTCCCAAACTAATAGCTTTTTTATTCCGCTCGACCACACCCTCACCGTTTGTTCAGCTACTTCATAAGTCACGTTTGTTTGCTTCACCTTCTTCCACTTTGCTTCATTCTTTTACACTTTTTTTTCTTATTACTTTTTTGTTATTACTTTTTTCTTTTCTTCTTTTTTTCTTTTTTTTCTTTTTTTTGGCGATTAATGCGCCCGCCACATTTTCCCCCTTCTTTTTTAACATCCTTTTTGATGAAAACATACCAAGTTTGTGTTACATAATACGGTCATAATTTTTGCTACTTCTTAAAATGCCTCTTCGTTGGGAAAAAATGAACAAAGAAGTAAATCGACAAAAAAAGAAAAAAAAGAAATTATAAAACCGTTCACGAGTCTTCAAAATGGCGAGGGGGAAAAAAAAAAGTGTGTCCCCGTACAAGCGACGTAAAAATCTACCAAAAAAAAAAAAAGGTGCGAAGAGAAGTAGAAAAAAAGCAGGGGACACATAAAATGGGTATTTGGGGCTCAAAAAGGGAGAAAAATTCTCCATGTGCAAAAAGGACAAATGAACATTCCGATTCGCCCTCGCCGGGATTACCAGTCCGTTTCCCTCTCAGGTGTTCGCGAACGAGTTGATCGTGTGGAGTGCTACACAGGGAGATGGGCACATTGAAGAGGAGCCTGTCTGTAACCCCCATTTATGCGCAAAAAATGGCATCAAAAACGAACTGGGGGATTTTCAAAAAATCGTCGACGATGGACTCTTGTTCCATTTCTGTGCCACTTTGGTCGCCCGCGGAAGGGTCCCAAATGCCTAGCTTCTCGCACAGGCATTTCGCAAATTCGTATTCCTCCATCTGGAAGTAGGTGCTGACATCTTCGTTTGCAATTTCTTTGTTGTAAAAGTCGAGGTAGTAAACTTTTAGCTTTCCCATTAATTCTTCAAATTCTGCTCTCTCCGCTGCGCTCAGAATGTTGTCCACGCGTCTGCTCACGCTTCCGTCCGCATTGATTTTACCCTCCTTCATTCTGCAGTAAAAATAAAACCTATGCTTTTTCTTCAAGTCGTTGTTAAAGTTTATTTTACTTTTCAAAACGTAGATTTCGTTTTGCGCCACCTGCTCATCGTGCGTTAAAGAAGTGCCGGTTTGCACCCAGCTCTTCTTGGGCACATACAATTCGAGTAACTCGCTTTTGGTCAGCTTCGCTTCCATGTTGGGGTTAATTAACTTTGCGTATCTGATATTTAGATCTTCTATCTCATCTGCATGGGCGCAACTGTCAGGCTTCTCTAGGCGTTTGCTTCCGAGAATGGTGCGATAAAATTTGGAGCGCAGGAGTAGCATTTCTTCCGCGTGATGCTGCCCTGGGTTATACAGAACGAAGGCGCCTTCCTCACCGCTGTCCATATCGATGCTGAAGTGATCGTATGGAATTATGCAACTGTCTTCGCTTTGTCTGCTCTTTCTGTCGAGCACCATGGCAGAACCCTTGTTTTCATTTCTCCGTGCTGAACTGGTGTATGCGTTTTCTAGGGAGCTATCAGAATAGTTTTCATAGTCCATTTGCCCAAACGGTTGCTTCCTTTCTGCTGTTGTTATTTCGATCTGTCCACGTGCCTCGATTGACCACTCATCGTAGATGCTCTTTGGGTGCGATAAAAGGAAATCCTTCCTCAGGTGATTCATTTCACGCTTCTTCACTTGGTCTATACTGTTTTCCTTCTTTTTATAAAAGGCCCCTTCGAAATTATTCTTTGGCTTATAAATCTCTTTAATTAATTTTTCAAATTCCTTCTGTTCTTTCATTTTTATCGAAATGAGACGATTTCGAGAAGATAAGATTTTTATGTATTCATTTTCGTTCCTCTCCGTTGTGTGTGTTTGTTCTCCTATGTTGTGTCTAATTTGTTCGAAAATTGTTGGTAGTTTAGGGCCTATCGGTTTTCGCCTTTTGGAAGAGTCTCCTTGGAAGATATCATCCTTGTTGGCCTCCTCAGTGCAGTTCTTCTCAACGTGTGCGTTTGGCTTTTCATCAGGGGGGGCCAATGAGCGAAGTGGGGAAGTAACATGTCTACTAGTGCTCTCCGATGTGACACAATCCTGTTTAGAAATCTTATTGCCGCTGTTACCCTTAGATATATCTTCTTTTATGTACTTATTTGCCACGTTCATGTCTATTCCGATGGGAATGCCATCAATATAATTGTTGTTCCTCAACAGTGCGTAGGACACACTGTCGTTGAAAAAGGTAAACTGGAGGTCATCTGGGTGATTCGCTTTATCATCAAAGTGTGCGCTTGTGATTATATCCTCATAGATGCTATCGTCCTCATCGATGTAGTCATAAATCCCTTTTTTGGTTACATCTTCCTTACGTTTGTATCTACTGGATATATAATTGGTGGGCTTGAATTCGTCGTCTGCCTCTGCCTGCTCTTTTTCCTTCTTCCTTTTAATTCTTTCGCGGTTCTCCCTCTTCTTCCTTTCTTCCGCTAGCAAATTTTTGTAGTACACATAAAAGTCGTATTCATCGTAGTGGTTGTGCTTCCTCTTTTTGCGAAACTCCCTTCTGACTTCATTCACGTCGTGGTCGGTCAGTTTCGTGCCCAGGAAGTCGGACATTGTTGCATATTCTTCCGTTTCAAGGAAGGGGTTGAGAAGTTGTTCACACCATGCGGATCTTCACACCGCATGGGGGGAGATAAAAAACAACCTACCAGGAGCATTTCCCCAATAGGAAAAAAAAAAAAAAAACACCTCTCTTTTTAAAGCGCAAGCAGAGCAGCACTATTCATAAAAGGCAGCTATCCACTTTGTTTCATCATCCAAACGGGGTAAGCATTTCTCCTAAATGATCAAAACTCTTGCTGGGTATGCCCCATTTTGTCGAAATAGGCATGGCTCTGTTTCTACACAAATGGTTAGCAGGCAATTTTGCATTGAATTGTATTACAATTCAGCGCTTGTACGCGGATTGACGCGAAATCGAGTCCCCTTTTTTTTTTTTTCTCTCTCTAATTGATGAATATTCTCACTTGGTTTAAAAGTGCCACTGCTTACAAAAAATTGTTGGGCATCTCGAATACAATGGAAGCATCCTCAATTTAGGTAGGAAACAAAAGAAAAGGGTACTCTCCCTGGTCTGGAAATCGCTTCGCCCTTTGAAATTAAGCAAACTTTGCGCGTAGTAGTGGTATGTATGCATATGCACTTAGGTGAACGTCTGACTGTATTTGCTAACGTAACCGCCATTGGCTGCCGCCTTGGACGGTTCTTTGCTCGGCGATCAACAATAATGTGTAAGACGAAGTAAACGCCAGCACGTGACTGTTGGTGAAAGGGTGCCACCGCTGGAAGGGGAAATTAAAATGGAGGCGGGAACCAGCCACAAAGATAAGCTGTTCTTTAAGCTATATGAATATATAAACAAGTTAGATAACGCTGCATATGATGATGTTAGCTTAGAGAAGGATGGGAGGAAGAAAGTTCTATACATTAGTAAAAAGGCAAAGTGGAAGAAAAGATGGGGTGATGGGGAAGTGACCAAGTCGGAGGTGAAAGGAGAGGGCAGGAGGGCTCTTTCTCCGCAGATCACGGGGAAGGCAAAGGATAGGGAAAGAAAAATAAAAAATCGAAGCCATGTAGGAGCTGGTGCTGAGAAAAGTGATCCATTTGGCGGGGAGGAGAGCAGCGGGGACGGCAGCGAGGAGGGCGGTAGTTACACTATCAGTTGTAGCAGCAGTTACAGCAGTCGCGGGGACGAAGTAGAAAGCGCCTTGCACGGTGATAACCCGGGGCACTCGGGGAAAGCGGAAACTGCGCCCCCCATCGCCCCGCGGGATTACCCTCTCAAAGCCGAAAACGATGACGCGGGTGGCCCAGTTAATGTCCACTCGTACGCACACCCCCATCGAAACAGAAACACAGAGAAGACAAAAAAGGAAAGGAGCAGAATCCGACGGAGCATAAGTCAAAGGAACCAGCTCCTATGCGAAATAGAAAACTACTACGTAATTTCCAAGCTGAAGAGAAAAATGGAAGAATACAAAAGTTTAAACGAAGTTAAAATTATAAACAGCCAAGGAAGTTGTAATCTGTTAGGGATGATGCAAAAAATTGAAGACATTATCAATGCATATAAAAAGGTTAAGGACGAATTAGATAAGCTAGAGAAGAACAAACAATTCATTTACGATACATTTTACTCCATTTTTTTGAACTATTATTCGAGGTATGAAGAATTGAAAGTAATCAAGGGGAACAAGCGAAGAGTAGAACGCCACTTGAAATTTTACACCAACGTAGATCATTTCGAGAAGGTACTTAACCACATGGAGAAAAACGAATATGCTTATTTTATTGACATGTACAATAATTCTTTGCAGAAAAGTGGAGGGGAGGAATACTCGGGGGAGATGCTTGACGGGGACCAGGAGAGTGATTATGGTGAGAGCGACACCGAGTCGGGGGATGAAGAAGGAGAGGTGAATATGGACAATTGGCCCGAGGAAGATAGACAGAACTGGGTAACCTCATACGGCACGGAAGGGGGGGACACCGACGGTGAGGCCAACCAAGCGGAGGATGAAGGGAGCCGTGAAATTGATAACTACTTACTTAATGAATGGGAGGAGGAAGAGGTAAGCTTCCCTGTCGGAGGATATGCTACGAAGAGGGGGCAACATGACGATGAAGATGCAGTTCAAAGGGCTGGACTTAATGGTGGGAGCGAAACAGAGCGAAGCTCGTTGGACGAAAATGCAGGAGTGGACGCAAGACGGATGAGTAACCAGCCGCGAAGGAGTAACAAGTACGTCGTACAGCGTCCCAGCGTGGAGGGACAACTGCGAGGTCGTATCTGGTGGGCGAAAAAGAAGAAAAGGAGCTCAGCGGGTGGGATATCAGATGGGGTAGCAACGGGCCAAGGACTCAACGCAGGACGCAGCGCAGGACTCACCACAACACACTACGCATCGAAGGGAGAGGCCCCTTCCGACACCGCAAACCAGGCCCAGCGTGCCAAAACAAAACGGGGGAGCGAGAAGAACGAAATTTATCACATGCTGGAATTTTCCGAAAAGGCGATAACATTCTTCAAGAAAAATGGTACCTATTTGCACGCCAAGGCTAAATTGACCAAGTACCAGTCCATCATAAGGCGTATTCTGAAGTACGTCATTAATTTGTTCAGGGACGTTCTAAACAACGCAGAGCTGAACATACCCTGTGGTAGGGGGGGTGAGAGTTTGTCTCTGTATGGGACATCGTCGTGTGAGCAGAATGGCAAAGAGGCGACCGCGGCACGGGAGTTAAGCATTAGGGGGAAGCGGTGGGAGGGCAGTACACTGAGGAGGGACAACCCCATTTGGGGAAAGCATCTCTCGGCTGATACATCTTACAATTCCCTGAGCGAAAAAAGACTACCTGGGGAAGACAACCATATGAATAATTTCAAATATGATGATGTGAAGGATCCCCCGGAAGGCAGAAATCATGAGAAAGACGAACCGAAGCATACGCATCCCCATCCGCATGAGCTAGCTAATTTGACGGAGGTGCAAAACCTCTTTTCCGCAGACGACGAAATGGAGGATAATGAAATTTACAAAAATCTAAGCATGATATATTTTAGCAAGTATATAAATGAACTGGAGTACTACAAGAAGTTCAAAATAAAATGCAGATGCATGCGAGATGTAATATACTTCATTTATGAAAAATCCCTCGTGAATGAAAATAATTTGTACACAGAGGAATACAACAAGCTGGAGAATTTCTACGTAAGCACAAGGCTAAAGATATTAAACAGCCATGTGCTAAGCAGTAATGTCCTGAGCAATTTTGAGTCCCTACTGAAGAGTGATGTTTGCAAATATATAAAGAATGTCTGCCTGTTGGCAATGTACGTTTCCAAGTTAGAGGTGGACTTGTATACACACATATTCAATAACAGCCTTAACAATTCCGTTAAGATAATTTTGAATAACATTGGGCTGTGTATCTTCGATTGCCTACATGATTGCATCCAGCAACTTAACAACATACAGCTGATTAGAAAGATTATCCGAATCATTTATGTGGACATCATCGATACGTATAGTGATAATTCGTACAGGATCATTTGTGATTACTTAAGAAAGATATGTAAAATTTTAAAGGACAAATTACTCTGCGTGATAGAGATGTACATATCGTACTACACCAAAAATACCAGTGCTACTTTGCCCTATGTGTGCTTCTACCCTCTGAGGAAGAAATTTATCAACATGGTGAACAATTTTTTGTATGATGAATATCTCCTCACAAGTGATGAGCATAGTAAGGGGCAGTCCCCTGTGAGAACCAGTCAGGGGGAACCGAACAAGGAGGAGCGAAACGGACAGGTGGATATGGTCTTTTCCTCCACTGTGAGTAATCACCCCATCGGTAAGAACGTACCGTGGGGGGATAAATCCGAGCCAGTGCGCAGTTGCGACAATTGCGAGGAGGGGAACCCAGTGAATGGGGCCACTCACAACGTAGAGTACCCCTCCAGGGAGAGCACAAGCAGTGTGAACAACGTTGAAGGAGGGAACATCGTTGAAAGCGGGAATAACGTTGAAGGCGGGAACATCGTTGAAAGCGGGAATAACGTTGAAAGCGGGAATAACGTTGAAAGCGGGAATAACGTTGAAAGCGGGAATAACGTTGAAAGCGGGAATAACGTTGAAAGCGAGAACATCGCTGAAAGCGTGGACAGTCGGGATAGCCTGGAAAGCTTAACCAGGGAAAAATACCCGAAGCAGAGCGAATGCAACAGGAACGTGCTGAGTGAGAAGAATGTGTACAAGCCTTTTTCCTTCCACCGCTGGGAATTTAATAAGGACACCAAATTCGGCCTCTGCGGTATAGACCTTAACATTATTGGTACCATCCTAATTTTGAAAACGATACATTTTGTAATCGACGAAGAGACGCTGCTGGAGTTGTTCAGGGAGTGCTTGGAAAATAGCTTCAACTCCATAACATCCATTTATAAGGAGCACATGAAAAATCATCCTCAGGACATGTTTAATGGAGCTCTTTATTTAATCAAAAATTTGAGTCTTTTGCTATATTTGTTTTACAAAGTTACGAAGGATCGCGAGTTTTTCCACTTTTACCTGCACAGCGGGTTGACCGAGCAGCTCCTCTTTGGGGCATCTCCAAAAGAATGGATAATGGAGAGCCATACTGGCAGCGGGAAAAAGGAAGACGACAAAGTGGGGGGCCAAAATGAGAACTCCATTTTGTGCTTCATCAAAAGGGTGTACAACATGTCGTCACAGAATGACGTGCAGAAAAGAATCCTGGCCGCCTTCAACGATGCCATTTACAACTTTACCGTAGCGACTGTGTCGCAGGGTAAGTTCCAAGTAGGAGTGCCAGTAGCGGTGCTAACTAGCCGTGCGAAGTAACGGTGCACTTGCATGTACTTATTCTCGTCTACTCTCATAAGTGTGTGCCTTTATTGGTGCCTCCCCTCCCCCGTGACTACCTCCAGCTCAGCGAAAAAGTCAACCTGCGACCTGCGTCCATACTCTTCTTTCCTTTCCCCCCTCTTCTTCTACAGTCTGTTCCCCCTTGATTAAAATCCTCTCCATGGAATACAAAGAAAGTGCACTTGAAAAGGAGGAAGAAATTAAAAAAACGGCTCATGATTTTTTGAATGCAAAAAGGAGTCGCCAATCAGATTTGCAGTTCAGACACGAGAAAGTGGACTTCTCTTTTTTGCGCGAAATAAACTTTGACTTGTTAAAGGAGTACGCAGAAAAGGTTAACAACGAGTCGAGTACAGAGGCACCCAACTGCTCCAACCTCGATGACGTAAAAAAAAGCCTCCAGTCGTTTAAGCAAAACGTCTGTGACCTATTTCCGAGGATATATTTTTACGTGAAGTTATTTATTTTCTCCAATACGGAAAAGCCAAACGAGAATAACTTTTTCCCCGGACTGTTTTCCCATATCGTGGGCCTCTTGACGTACAAAATAGTGGGCCTCCTCAGGTGAGTGCTTCCTTTTCATTTGCGCTCGATTAGGTGTGGAGGGCTCCCCCCAGCTTTGCAACTCCGCAGCTTCGAACGTTTGCAACATTGTAACTTCTCACCTGCGTCCCCGCTTCCCCCTGTAGCGAGGTGTACCTCATCATAAGGCTCAAGTATGCACACCAAATGGAAGCCATATTTGAAGAGAACTACGTCAGCGACATTTTCCTCTTCCTGAATTCGAGCGAGCGTTACGTCTGCTCCTTTTCGGACATCCACCAGTACATCGACACAAACAAGAATTACAACTTTTGGGGGGAGTAATTTTTTACAAAAAGGAGTTTCCGGGGCCATCGAATTGGCGATTTATAACATACAGCAGAAGGACAAAAAAAAAAGGGGAAAAAAAAAGGACTTAAGTGGGGAGAAGAATGTGCACACAAAGGGGGTGTAACATGTGTGACAAAACAGGGGGGAATAAACCGGAGGTGCATTCTCAGAAAAATCTTACACCATCGCGTTCGCAGCGCAAAGGGATTTCTACCACGGCCCCGCCGCGCGAACGAGTCAGACGCCCTCCTCAACGGGATAATCAATAAAGTAAATCCCTCGGTCGGACGAAAAAATAATTTTGTTGTTCTTGTGGCGTATGAAGTAAGACCACTTGAAGTAAAACAGTCCAGAGGGCAGCTCCACACATTTGTAAAATATAAAAGTGGATAAATTAAAAATGAATATTTCATTTTCCACCAAAATGAATAGCAAATTTTCCACCGATTTGTAGATATCCAAAATTTTTTTTTTTAATTTTTTAATTCTGTACATATCCACAGCTTTTTTAAAATCAAAAATGATTAACCTCCTCCCATTTTTTGCTACAATAATTTTTTCATCATCCAAAAATTTCCCATGACTTATAAATTTTGAAGAAAAATCCACACAAAAAATCAATTCGTGTTCACATTTCTGTGCATTTATATTAATTTGTAGAACGCGGATGTGGCATTTCCCGAAATTATTCTTGTAGCATAAGAGATAATTCACATTGAAGTCAAAAATGACAATATTTTTTAAAAAATTCTTATAAAAATAACTCGTGCAATTATTTTTAATGTCGTATATAAAGAGACTCTTGGAGTTATTAAAGAGAATGAGATTTTCAAAGAAGATCACTTGTTTGTTGTTTGCCACTTCGACGTTCAATTTTTTTACAAACTGGTAGGTCCTTATGCAAAACACGTCTATGCAGCTTTCGTAATATACATAGGCGTAATTCTTGTCTAGATAAATTGACTTGATGCTGTTATTCCTGAACATACACAGGATGTGGTACTTCTCGAGCACTTCGATGGTGCCATTGCTGGTTTTGCCGCTAAATCCTACTGCGGTGTTATCGATTGCGCCTCTGCCTACCCCGATGCTGTCGTTTCTGTCATTTTCAATCCCATTTTCATTATCCCTGCAGGAGTCCTCCACGGAATTACGCTGGGTGGTGGCAGTTGGGGGCTTGGTGGTCAACTCCGTGGAGTCGTTCTTTTCAGAGTGCCCCGTCTTCGGCTTCCCTTCGAGGAGGGACACATCTGTGTTGACCCCCTTGTTTTCCTTCCTCGTGATTCTGAACAGGCACACTTTTCCAGTCAGGGAGCCTACGGGTGAGGCCACGCAAAAAGAGGGCGCATGGTCGGGGTGGCAATGAACGGGTTCATGGTCTGGGCAGACGAAACACACAGCACGTGTGCGCCCACGCCAAGTACTCAACCTACCGGTGCAAATATAATTGTCGTCTGTGTACAGAACAACTATGGGATCCGATAGCAACGTCTGAATGCAATTGTGCAGGACGATCTTTTTGCTTTTCCTCCCCCTTTCGTCGTCTCTCCTTCCCTTAAAGCTAAAGCAGATATTGTGTTTCGCATTGAAGCATTGGTTCATCACCTTTCTTTCGTTACTCATTTTCTTTTTCTTCTTTTTTTGTATGACGTCACAGCTTTGGCGAGGAGGTTCTGTCCCACATCTTGGACTCACTCATTTGGGAAGGAGCGCGATAGGTGGTGGTAGGGGCGCCTAAATGGGAAGAGGGGAAAAAAAAAAAGAAAGAGCGCGTTGGCCTTCCCTCTATATCCTCTTCCTTATTTGAATAGAGGACGATAACACGGGTGACTTCGAAATTTTATGTGTTAAGGTGACGAGGCCACGAATTTGTCGCACGAAAAAATAGAAAAAAAAGAACTGCCACTTTTACTAAGCCTGGTTCCAAGGCGGGCGATGGGGAAAATAATAAAAGCGTATCAATTGATGTTCGTCACGTTTTGCTTTTCAAAATGGACGATATGGAAGTGCCACTTCGTACTTTCAAGTGAAAAAAAAGAGGAAAAATCACAAAAAAAGAGAAAAAAACACACAAAAAAAAATATATTCTAATAATGCGAACGCGGGGTGGAGGAAATAGCAGCTGATATATTATGTATTAAAAATAAGGAGCGCGGCGAAGAAATAAAAATTAATCAAAAAGGGAGACATTGAAAAATGGAAAGCTGGAAAAATCGAAAGCCTAACATAAGTGCAGAAAAAAAATTGTAAAATAAAAATAACAACGATGGTAAAAAAAAGGTCAATTTTTGATTCTCCATTGCCATTCTCTTCACCCTCTAAAAATGCCGTTCACCTTAAAATGTTTCTTCGTGCAACACTTCGAGTGCAACACTAATCCTCTTCTAAACAAAGCGGTGTAGTTTGCTTTGACTCAACCGATTGAGCATAAGAGGCACATAAATAAGATAGTTCCCTCTGCGCACATAAAGCTGTATACACAATCTTCACCGCGGAAGATGTTCCCCCACTGATCAAGCGCCATAGTAACATAACAACATAGGCAGTAGGAAAAATGTTCTTCCACGATAGACAGACGCACTTCAAATATTGGGATGGAAGGATCTAAAGGTCCTGCAGGAGGTTTGCGTCATCTTCGTCATTTCCGCCATTTTCGTCCCCTTCATCCCCTTGGTCTTTTATGAAAGGCTCCAAAAGGTAGGAGGTAAAATCTATCGAGTTCTCCTTTTCGTTTAATCCCTTGTCATACTTCCAGAAGCTGTATAAGGTTAAGTTGATTAGGTGTGTCTCGGAGTGCTGCAGATTTGGGATGTAGATGTGGGAGGTGTGAACATTTTGCTCCTCTAGGTGCCTGATGATTTTCTCCGTCCTGCAGTGCTTGATGTCTTCGACGTAGCCTGGGGGGAAGCGACGCGACAAAATTTTGGCGCATCAGGGTGAAATGATTTTAAGGAGAACAGAAAAAAGCGACACGCATGGAAGGCGACACGAAGTTGGCATTAGCTTCTATTATCGGTCATTAACTGCTATTAGCTTGCAACCGTTCGCAACTGTGCTGAGGGTGCCATACAGACAGAGGAGGACCCCGCCCCTCGCAAGGGAGGGAACATTACCTGCTACCTTGGACATGTACTTGAAGTAGCTCTTCTGCCCTACCGTTTCTATCGGAGTGACCTTCGAAAATAATTTCTGGTCAATGAACATGAAGCAAATCTCGAAGAAGTAGGGAGAGGGAAGATCAAACAAATCAGTCTGATTTTTGTATTCCTCTTCCTTTATGTTTATGAGATTCTTTATGTAGAACCAGAAGGGGAACTCGACGTCGACGTAGGTGAAGGACGAAAGGGTGATGGCCAGATAAATCGGCATCCATTGCCTTTCGCCGGCTTTCATTTCTTTTATGTCGAATCCCTGTGCGGGGTGATGAGGAGGCATGCATTGAGAAGGGGTATGCATTGAGAAGCGGTATGCGCTGTGAAGAGGCATCCCCTGTGAAGAGGAATTCCCTGTGAAGAGGCATACGTTGCGAAGCGGCATCCGCACGTAGTGACGAATTTCTCGCGCTAACCTCCATAAAGGCCGTGGGCAAGGGGGGGGTGTCCACGAGCGCCTTAACCACGACGAGCTCGCCCAGCGCCCGATCGTACAGAGACATATTGACGGCGTCATTTAAAAAGAGTTTCGCATACTGTATATTATTGTAGTGATAAGCGGAGTTCAGTTTGAGCGGCAAGTATTCAATATCAATGTCCTCGTTTATTAGCGTCTTGTTCAGTATGGTAGGTCTACTAATGTCAATATTATCAATATAAATCTTCTCGTCATTAAAGGATAAATCGTTTTCCCCGACATCTACATTGTCCAAATAGGAATACACATTGTGAATGTTCTCTCTACTATTAAAGTCAGTATTCTTTTTGGACCTGACGTAAACTCCATTATTTAACACATACTGGTATAAATTATTTGGCATGGGAATACCTTCCGAGTAGGAAATTAAAGTGGTTAAAATTTTATAAAATCTGTCATATATAGATTTGAATGTAATAACTTTAATCTCCTTTTTGTAATTATCTTCCCCGGTATTATCATGTTCGTACTCGTAAATAGAATTTTCAATCCTATCCAGTAGGGACTCACCCATCATTTTGGCATTTTCATCCACTTTTATGTTTTTGTTTCCATATATCAGCTGATTTCTCAAATACTGGATGTAGTAGAAGGAAATACAAGCTTCTACGTTTTTTAATGGCAGGGGAGGGAAATCAACGACGACAATATTTTCGATATTTTTATTTGCATTATTATTGTCTTTTTTATTGCTTGCGTTTCTATTTGCTTCGTAGTTATTGTACGTGTCTTCCTCGTTGTGTGCTCTTCTAGGATTCTTCCGGTTATAATTGAAAAGTTTTTTCTTCCTTTCATTTTCATTTTCTCCCTTCCCTGTACCAGTGGACGCTCTTTTATTTGTTTTATTTTTTTTTTTAAAAATGTTGAATACGTCATCCATATTGAGTGGGGTCTGCGCGAAGTGGGTCATCAAGGGGGGTGTATAAAGAGGGTGAACAAAGTGGGTAAATTGTCTGGTGAACAAGCTGTATGAATGCTCTCTGCGTGAAAGATCAAACCACGCATCACAGGAGTAGCACATCGGAGAAATGACCCCGCAGGAAACCCTTTCCTCAGCATGAGTTGTTTCCTTCGACAGTGTTGTTATCACAATGTTTTCTCTCCCTTTGTAGGTCGACTGCGACGCCCACTGGGTTATATTCACCTCCCCATCCTAATTACCCTCATGCATCTATCATAACGACCGGTAATGTGAATAACCTGTTAATTCAATATTTCAGGGAAAACCTGTTCTTAGGCCTTTTAAAAATATCTTAAGGCATCAAAACAGGAAGGAGGGACGAACTGAGCTGTAGTGCCTAATTCATAGATGATGGGTAACAGGTACAATTTCGAGACTTGTATGGCAAGTACAAAGAAGAAAAGCGTGATCTTCCCCTCGTTTTGACGAAGATAATAAGACGGAAAAGTGGATGTACCTATCTGTAAAACGTCATTTCACATGTACCTTGGACGCACTATCGTCTACTCGGGTGAATTTCCCTGCGCATATGCCAACGGGTGAGCATTAACAGCATGTTTCGCCAAGTAGCAATGATGAAATGCTACTGCTAAATATGGTGTCTCTTTTTCGCCAAACCTTTGAGGAGTATTTGCGGCGTAAGCATGTGCGGCTTATCCACGCGGGGATCATAACGGTTCAGCGAGGACCATGTCTAGACAGAGGATAAGGGGATTACCGCATCAAAGTGCACTCCTTATTGCATTTTCGTGTTTTTTTTTTTTTTTTTTTGGCTTCACTTTTGAAGGGATGTCATCTCGTTCCTCTCACTCTATTTCGTGAAGAGGCGGACTTTTTCCCCCCATTCGACGGATTCATGCGCTTCGTGCAAAAGGACATGTCGAGCGAAAAAAATTCCCACCGTTGTGAGCACGTTCCTATATATATTTTAACCGTTAAAAGGAAACAAAGTCGAATTGTTTTTTTCCTGCCGTTGACTTCTCATATTAACCACCCAGTCAAAAATGTTCTTCCCCATTTTGAGGAGTTACCTTTATTTTAACACGGAGAGGGGTCTCTAATTTTGCGCTTTTTCTTGATAATAGACGGGGGGGAGAGGAAAAAAAAAAAAAAGATGCCCTTCCATGTTGCCTGTTTAGGTAGTCAATGGGGAAAGACTTATGCAAAAAAAAAAAAAAAAAGTTCCCTTCACGGTGTTATCATTACACGTCCGTCAGAGGTGGATACAGCCTAATGATCCTTTCAACAAAAAGGTGTTTAAGAGACGGAGGCAACCCGCAGCAACCGTAGGTTGTTAAATAAAAAAGCTGGGAAATCATTTTTTGTCCTTGAAATTTATCCTGCGCGAGAAGCTGCACATCCTGGAGAAGTGTCTCGAGGATGGCAGAAAAAAAATCGGCCGATGGGAGGTTATACGGAAAAGTCCGCTTTACCCCCGTGTCAAACGGTTTAGCAGTAACCCCATTTGAGGATCGTGAGCATGTTCAATGGGGGGATAACATGGAAGGGTGAACAAGGTAAAATGGCACAAACATCGAAAGGAACACACATCCAAAGGAACACACGTCGAAAGGAACACACATCAGAAGGAATACACATCGAAAGGAACACCCCTTGAAAGCTGCGCGTCGAAAAATGTCCCACCCGTCTTATCAACACAAGTTAACAGACCTGTGTAGTATATCCACCCCATGTTGGCGCTTCTTCAAAATACAAATCGTGTAAGATAGCCTGCGCATGACGTTTCACTCTCCCTCTCTGTGCTGAACAAAGTGGCAATCTTCACCTATTCGTTTGTTCACTTGCGTATATGTACACGGGGGGTGTGGCGAATCTGAAATGGTTCACCCGTTGTAGGGCTCCTGTTTGGGAGCAAACTGAAGGGTAGAAAATGGTCACAGGGGATTCATACAAATACATATACGTATGTAAATATGTGTACTTTTTTGCCCTTTTGTCACTTGAAATGGGTCCCCCCCTATGCGTATGCGCAACTATAACGCAAGTGGTAATTTCCCCTCCGCTGCCGTGGTCCCAGATTTTTGCTGGCACAAATACACAGTTGATCGAAATGGGACCACAAAAAAAATGAAAGAAAAAGACCAAAATGTAACGCACACGAGTTTTTTTTTTTCTTTTTTAACTGGTTGTACACGCGCAAAAGGGAATGGCTAATTCATGAGGTGCGTACAGAAATGCACCTTTTTTGTTGCTCCTTTTTGGTTGCATATGTTCAATTGCACATGCTTAATTGCGCATGCTTAATTGAGCATTTGCGTGTCGTCAAATGTTTAATGTATGCTGCGTGTATGCACAAGTCCGGCACTACCAAAACAAGGACAAACGCAAACACAAATACAAACATATAATAACCGAAACCGGAACAAATGTGTTGCTAAACAGTTGCACAAGACGATCGAAACACGTGCCTCTTTTACAACCAGCTATTCATTCGCAATCGTAAAGCGTGTCGCACTTCTGTTTTGTATTTTTCGAGTGGTCGATCAGTTCGAAACTGCCATTTTTACATTTTTAATTTTCCGCCCCTGTTGCAAAGAAAATACTTCCTTCCCGCACTGGAAATCTGTCCCTCTTCCGCTTCCCTATTTTTACGCGTTACACACAATTTTAATGCAAAAAAGAGAAAAAAATGAAAACAAAAGTACTATTCTTCTTGCCGTCCATTCTGTTGCTACCACGCTCGGTATGGTCAGAAACGAAAGGTCCATCTGATCCCCCCAAATCTGGAAAGCCAAATGCTAACACACTACATTTGTTAAGGGGCAAATTAGAGTACCCAAATAAAATCAACGAAGAGAATGCAGTATCTCCAGATTTTAAAAAAAACGTAGAAGTGCCAAAAAAAAAACTCGAGGAATTAAAAGGCAAGGCAGAAAAAGATAAACAGAATGAAGCGGGTACTACAGCAAAGGGAGAGGAAGCATCTCAAAATGTAAGTCAAGACGGATTACAAGAGCAGACCCCCAGTGACAGTAAGGATGGAAAAGCAGAGGAAAAGAAAACTGAAGTCAAAAATGTCATTTTTATGAAAAAGGAGAAAGCCGTCAATGAAGAAGTTGGAAACAAACAAACCGCTATCATAACTGAAAAGAAGAATTTGCCAATTGAGGAATCGCAGGAAAAGAATGGAATCCAGGCGCAGGAAAGTATCGAGGTAGAAGAGTTACCCGAAGTTATAGTGGACAAGACAGATGATTCCGCCGAAGGCGAAACCTTATCCGAATCGGAAAAGGAAGCTAAGCCTTCAGCTGAAAGCACTCCAAATGAACCGAATGTCAACACCACACATATACCAGCAGACACACACACATATCCAAGCGGCGAAGGTCCTAGCGCACCGAAGAAGATACAATTTCCCTCCATTGACGAAAATGCAAATAGAAGAGCAGCACGAATTAAACATATGAACCGATTTCTAAATGGCTTCTTAACCAGTCGAAGCAAAAATAAAAATGAAATATATTTCCATCCATATTATGGCCCCTATTTTAACCATCCCGCCTACTATAACTATGACCCCTATTATAATTATTCTCAGTGGTATAACCCATTTTTGAGACAAACAAAGGATTATGAAGTGAATAAAAACTTGCTTGGTGCCTGCTTTATCAAAGGGGAAGGAGCCCATCCAAATGTGCCCTGCATATTTGACATATTCAAAAAAGTTTTAGACGACGAACGGTTTCGAAACGGATTTAGAACTTTTATGTATGCCCTTTACGAATTTGCCAAAAAGAATGACGTCTTAAGTGAAGAGGCAAAGAAAAAGGAGTTTATGAGATTCTTCTTTGACAGTGCCTTTCAGTTGCTCAACAGGATGTTGCACCATTGATGGGAATATTTCTACATTCGATTCTATTAGATGTTTTCCTCTACTCCTTTGATGACTATATTGCTCTATTTTAATATAGCCATAAGGAAATATACTTAACGAATGAGGAAAAAAAATGCAAAAGAATACCCCCTCACACACACACTTCAAGGGGTAGCAGCAAATGTACAATTTTTTAACTTCCCATTTGTGCAATTCTCATGTTGATCTGCGTAAGGTGCGTGCAAAGTGGCTACAATGTGGCGACCAGCTGGCAGAACAATTTTTTTTTTTTTAAACCTTTCAGACGTTGGGTATTCCCCGCAGGATTACAGTTTCCGTGTGAGCCCTTTAACAAATTAAGCACATTTTGAGGATCGCAAAGAGTTCATTTTTCTCTTCACCTTGGATCAAGGAACATAGTGGGGGACGGCTATCTTCCACGCGTTGAGTGCATATCGAAAGATTAGTAGCATCAAAAGGGAAAAACGCAAAAGGAATCGTCACATGTAACATAGAAGAAGATTGTAAAAAAAAACACAACACGTGATGACCTGATCAGCAAGGAAAAAACTTAAAAAATGCATCAGGTGTATATGACACGAGTGACATGTGCGGTTTTGCAAATTGTCGAGGTTACGCAAATCCAGGGGGACACCAGAAAATGGACTATTCGGAAGAGTGGCCTGTTTTAAGACTCCTCTGTGGTTAACTCGCGTGGAGTGAAAAACTTGCGTTCATCCGTATACTCCATACAAGTGAACATGTCGATATTTCCCGTTTTCCGTAGTGTTTTTTTTTTTTTTCGCACTAGAAAATTTTACAAATTTCCAACAAACACGATTTATGCACTTTTCCATGCAGCAAAATAAAAGGATCAGCCCTTTTTTTTCGGCAGCGTACTGTAAAGCGGCCATTTATTTGTTCAGTCGTTTCCTTCTTTTGTTTTTCCTTCTCTCTCACGCAGCAGCGTCAAAATGGAAAAAGGGACACCGAATTGGCGTCAAAGGAAAAGAAGTAGCCATTCGAGAAATTTGAAACTGCTGAATGGGTAGAACTTTTCAAAAAAGGGGTAAAAAATATCACGGGTGAAATTCGATCCGGTTATTTTATCACATTTTAATGTGGTTAATTTTTTTTTTTTTTTCACGTTAAGGCCGCGGGTGAGGGGTGAAGATGGAGTTAAAAGGCCTCCATTAATATATTCATTTTTTCCACTTTTTGTCTCTCCCAAGTGCAAAGTTGCACATAACTAGCAAAACGCACAGGAATATGTGTGTGTACACACGTATATACACATATACACCATTTTACGCACATGTATATACGAAAAGTGGCCTCTCCACGGGTGCGCTTCGTTAGAGTGAATGTGATGCCTTGAGTAATGGTGCAACGCGAAAAAGGAAAACACGGGCGTGCCGCGTGAAGGCTATGGGGCAGAGGCGAGTGGCAATTTGCTTCCCCCGAAAAATTCTCCGAGGAGCATTTCAGGAAAACGGGAAAATTTGGAAAAACGGCTATGTTGGGAAAAGTGCAAGAATTGCAAAGTTGCAAAGGTCGCTCACTGGGCGAAACGCCCGGGGGAGGAAAATCGGCATCACAAAACCGGGAACCGAGAACGAAAGAAAAATTGCAAAAGGGGAAGAGGTACCCATCAGAGGAACAAATTCCTTTTATTTTCCAAAAATAGCGCCCCGTTAAACGTCCTCTCCCAAGTTCACACCATTTTTGATTAGCGGAAATTTCACTCATAACCCAATTTAATTGTATTTTCTCAGATGTGCGTTTTTCCTGTGAGCGCGCCTATCTCTGAGTGAATTTTTGGCCAATTCATTTTTGTCACGCGAACAAATCTTGGTGTGCATTCTCTGGAGCAGATTTGTGATGCATTTTCCTGTAGCTATTTCTCCGTTCTGTCAATTTAATTTCCGCGTGTGATCCTATCAACAAAAATTTTTTTCTTTGCTCCATCCGCGTTTTGTCTTCCTTTGTTTTTTCCTTTCCGCGACTTTAAAAGTACAGTTCTTAACCCCTGCCGCTTGAATTGCCCTTTTCGAGTGTGCACCCATATAAACCTGCACATAGTATACGCAACACAACACAGCATAGCCTAATTAACCCATTAACGCTCACCATGAACGGAAAAATCTTCCTTCTGGCCATTTTTTTATTGACGCTACACATCGTGGCATTGCAGGGCAAAACGCTTAATACGGTGACGGATTCCGAATCAGAAAATGAAAAAGCCAAAAAGGTCGGTAAAAATAATAAGACAAACAGTGGGGACTCCACAGACAATAGTGAGGAACCTACCATGGGAGAAAACATAATTAAATATTTTAAAAATATCCTAAACGATTTTAATAAGGCTTCCAGAAGGGAGAGTGATGTTTCTAAGGATGGTGAATTCATTGGTCAGGTGTCACAGGAGGTTCCTACAACAAATGAGGAAACCGATGAGGAGGACGAAGACGATGAAGAAAGTGCACCCGGGAAGGACGACGTGCAGACTACCGAGCAGAAAGCCGAGAAGACATCCGAGCATACTGCCAAACAAACTACCGAGCAGAGCGATTCTCCACAAGGTGGACTGAACGAGGGAGATGCCAAATCTACCCATCCAGTGCAAGGAGAGAACGACAGCGAATCCGGGCCAAAGTACTCAGAGAAGGTGTATGAAGATATCCTAATAAGCTTAAATAAAAGGGGCGGTGAACAGGGAACCAATGAAAACCACAAATATAATGAGTTCAAAAAGGAATACGACATGTTCATATCGTTAAATAAAGACGAATATGAGATTATAGAGAAGCTCGTCGATGCATTTTGCGTGAACAATCAACCCTTTGATGAAGACGCAGATTCTGTGTACGAAGCGATTAAGAAGTCCTTTACGGATCCAAAGTTTAAGAAAGAATTTGGAGACTTCATTAACGGAATTTATGACTATTCACAGAAGAAGCATAATATAAGAGGCACCCAAACGGAGCAGACCAAGACGTACCACATGCTGTTTCAGAATGTGATCAATTTTCTCAACATGATATAAAGGCCGGGCTGCACGGGAGAGCCTAACTGCGGCGAGTTTAAGTGGGTTTTGTTTAGACAACGTTTGCAAGGCTCATTGAATGACCTGCCGAGGCATTAATTGTACCTTCTGTTCGTCACCTCTTTCGTTTTTTCCGATTTATCTTTCCATTTTGTGCCATTTCGCCGTTGCGCCATCGCTACTCCGCGAATACATATGGGCCCACACCCCACAAGGGGGGAACGAACACAATGACGCAATGTTCACCCTACGTAGTAAGCCCTCCTACCACAATGTAGCGGATCAGATCTGTTTACTCATTTTTACGTTCTGTTATATTTTATAGAACTTTGTCATGCAGGCCATAATGTACTGCGAATTCAAACACGTAGTGTCTGTCGACATTTTTGGTACTTTTTTTTTTTTTTTTCCTTTTTAAAAGAATAACTTGTAAAATAAAAAACTAAAAAAAAAAGTTGACAATATCCTAACTTCAACTTGCTAAAGGTTTTTTTTCCAAAACGTTTTAATAACATCCTGTGTAAGAACAATTAAAATGACGGATTGTATTTCATTTGGCAGTAGTGACCTTTTTTTGAAGGGGGGGGAATATTGTTTTTTTCTTTTTTTTCCTCTGTGGAGAAATAACATTTGACGGGGAAAACCCTCTGTGTGCAAATTGCGATTGGACTACTGCTTTCCGGAGGGGTGACTTTAACAGCGTTTTAATTTGCGCACTGACTAGTTTTCCACACGTTAGCTATTTTGAAAGAATGCCAATTCTCTCATGCGTGGGGATAAAACTCTCATACGTAGACATGGACATGAGGGTGTTGGAGCAAAACCATTCCGTAGCTGCTTTCACGACGAGTTTAGTCCTCGATTTTGCACGATATCCTTAAGGAAAGTAAAAAAAACATTAGTGGTAATACCACTTTCGTACATATTAGGTAAAAACAACTGGGGACGACAAAATGAAGAAAAAGAATTGAGCCCCGCGGCTCCTTCATCCTACTCTCTTGCGTCTTCGTGTCGCAGGAACAGATTGCCACCCAAAAAGGATGAGAAAATCATGGAACATGATGCTGTTCATCTGCTAATGAAGAGGCTGGAAATTCTGTATAATATTAGTATGAACAACTCAGACATCATTCTCGGCAAAGAAATGGAGTTGTTGAAAAAACAGATTGACCAGTTGCACCAACCTGGTGCAAGACACCACGGATACTACCTCAGCCCTCGTCTAGAAAACGAGGCCTCAAATGAGTCAACCAAGAAGACCATTTTCGGCGTAAATGAAGGCGATCTGGGTAACTACGATACGGACTTCATCGACCTGAGGAAGCCCAAAGTGGAGGGGACCTACAACGATGATGGCGGGGAAGAAGCACGAGCTAAGAGAAAACTACCCAAGGCTTCCGCAAATATGGGGGAACTGGCTAAGGGAGGATCTCCTACTCATTCATCCACCAGCAGCTCGTGAAGGGCGAGGGTGGCTGCAGCCTCTACAGGGGGTGGAACATCACAAACGCCCAAAGTTAATGGGAAGCTATTAATGGGCCACAGTTCATGGACCACATCTCACAGGCCACAGACAGCAGATAATGTATGGGGAACGTCTGTCGTGCCAAATCCAGATGCAGCAAAACCAGTGATAAAACACAACGGGGACGCGACGAATCGCACAGGAAGCTTCCCAACAAAGTGAGAGTGCTGTCAATCCGAATGTGAGCTATCTCGAAGAGCTCTACGAAGAAGTCCTTCACACCACGCAGGAAAAAAATGAAGTTCATGTCCCCCCGTTCCACAGGAAATAAAATGATGTGAGGAAAAGGTACGAATTTAGGATGAACGATTGGGGGTACCAAATAGGGAAAAAACTGTTTGACGCCTTCTTCAAGGAGGGGAAATTTCAATGATGGTTTCCCTAGTGAATTTTTCAAAAAAGTGTTGAATGACGTGAGTTTGCAAAAAGAGTATGACAGCTTTCAGCATATCCTCTACGGATTTGCAAGACGGCACAGCTACTTGAGGGGCGAGAGGATGAACCTGACCAATGCGTACAGAAATTTGTTTGTAACTGCGTTAAGTTTGCGGGACACACTTGAAGCCAACTGAGCAAGTGGACCAATGAACAAGTGAAAATGAGTAATTTCCTTTCCCACTTCGCCGCTTCGGAAGTTTGGAATATTGGGCCGTTTACCCACGTAGCGCATACCCCATGAGACTTTTCTTTCTTTTTTCGTGTAACGTATTTTTACATTTGAGCATTTTTTTTTCATGTAACATATGTTACATTTAAGCATTTTTTTTTGTTTTGTCCGATTTATTAACCTTTGCATGGGTGTACTTGTGCCGCCCAGGTGGGGCAAACGAAATTGCATCTTAACAGATAATGCACTGCCACAGTTTGCGTGATGACAAAATGAGAAAAACTTTCTTTCCGTTTTCAATTTTTGTTTTTCTCCCATCGTTTTGGCCAGCCTTATTCTGCCACTCGCTCCACTAGGGATGACCCCATGTTGTCCCATTTTTTGGAGACCATGCACACGTCGGAAAAAGCTGTATCAACAGAACTTCACCATGTCTATCTTGTCAATTTAAAAAAAAAAACTGCGCTGTCAATGTACACTTCAATCGGCTACGTATAATCCATGGTGAATTCTCGCATAAGAAGAGAAAACCCAAATGCGCTTCCTTTGCAAAGGCACATAAAATACATGCATGCAAATGCGAAATTGGTGTATCGACCCTGACCTAGTTGCAATTTGGCGCCTCTCGCCGTGTTTTTCCGGTCCTAACTTCCCCGGTGCTAATTCTCCAAGTGGGTAATTCACCAAGTGAGTAATTCACCAAGTGGGTAATTCACAACTGCCTAATTCACCAGGAGCGAAAATTGCCAATTTTTTGGGGGTCTTTTTGCTTCCAGGCAAATTGCCCCAGCGTGCAATTTTGCCATTAAGGAGTCCCCTTTTGAATTGGAGAAAAGATTAATTTGACGGGAAAAAAAAAAATTAAAAATACGCACACGTGAGTGTCCAAATATATGTGCACATATTCACTCACTTCGATCTAGGAGGAAGATAAAAAAAAAGTTCACTATTTCAGCCACACACTTTTCTTTCTCATCAAATGCGCTTTTCCTAAATAAACATTACCCAAATAACGCACTGTGCATCAGTATAGCGCCTTAAACAATCGCCCTTTTGGCAAAAAAAAAATGAAGAAAAAAATTGCACTCTTCGGTTCCCTCTTTGTGCTGCTTTCGTCCAGCACCGTGTCGTCTGAAAAGTTAGGCATCCAGAAGAAGAAGAAAAATCTGGAGGAGGACGACATGCACATGTTGATGAAGAAGCTGGAAAGTTTGTACAAACTCAGTGCGACGAACAACAGCGAAGATTTTAACAAAGAAATTGAGGCCTTGAAGAAACAGATTGATCAGCAGCAACAACCTGGCGGCGACAACGAAGGGGAAAGTCCAGGCCACCTTCTAGAAAGCGAGGCCGCAGACGATTCGGGCAAGGAAACAATTTCTGGGGAAGATGAAGAGGACTCAGACAGCTACGACGCCGATTTTATCGGGCAAGGGGAGAAAACTATCACAAAGGGGGCAACAGGCAGTGTTGAAAAGCAGGAAGAGGATAAGAATGAAGAAGAAGAAAAGAAAGAAGAAAAGGAAGAAGAAAAGAAAGCAGAAGAAGAAAAGAAAGAAGAAGAAGAAAAAGAGGAGGAAGAAGAAGAAACAGATAAAGAAAAAGAGGAAGAAGAAACAGATAAAGAAAAAGAGGAAGAAGAAACAGATAAAGAAAAAGAGGAGGAAGAAGAAGAAACAGATAAAGAAAAAGAGGAAGAAGAAGAAGAAACAGATAAAGAAAAAGAGGAAGAAGAAGAAACAGATAAAGAAAAAGAGGAAGAAGAAGAAGAAACAGATAAAGAGCATACTTCTCATCAACCAGATTCAGAAGCTTCACCCGAAAGTGCCCCTGAATCTCTTAAACTCGGAACACCCGTCCTACCAAGTGTAATTACCGGGCATAGTACTACAACAGAGGGGCTCTCACAAACGCAATCCCCTGCAACATCTGCAAACGAAGGAAAAAATTCCGAAAAATTGGGCAACCCCCCAGAAGCCCGGGCAGAATCATCACCCCCAGACACCACCCCCGGCAGCTCCATTACCCCCACGACAGCTCCATCCCCCACAGGGGAAGTTCCATCCCTCCCAGGTGCAGCTCCAGCAACCCAAGAGGCAGCACTATCAACCCAGGAAACTCCAACACAGCAAGCTCCATCATCCGCAGTAGCAGCACCCTCAGGTCAATCACCCCCAGCTCCATTAACCCCCCCGGCATCTACATCATCCCAAACGCCACCTGGATCACCTCCCCCAGTTCCATCATCCCGACCGGCATCACCAGGTGTAATCGCTCCTGTGGTACAGTGTCCAAATGGATGCGCCCTCGAAGTGAAGTACCTGGACAAGCTATACGATGAACTACTTAAAACAACAGAAGGAAAGGATGGAATTCACGTCCCCCTTTTCCACAGCAAATATAATGACTTTCGAAAGAAGTACGAGCATACGATGAATGAGCGGGAGTACCAGATAGTGAAAAACTTGTTTGAAGGCTTCTTCAAGGAGGGGCATTCCAAGTGTGGTTGCCCCGTTGAGTTTTTCAAAAAATTGTTGAATGACGCGGGTTTGCAAAAACAGTTTGACAACTTTATGCATGGCCTCTACGGATTTGCAAAACGTCACAATTATTTAAGGGGAGAGAGGATGACGGATAGGAAACTATGCGAAGAGGTGCTAAAAAATGTCATAAATTTGCTGAACACGATTGAAATAATGTAATCATCATCAATTGCGGTCAGCAGTTTATGGCTAACCTTCTTTTTGATATTTGTCCGCTCTCTTTTAAGTACTCCCAATTGTTGTTAATTTTTAAAATTGAAGTTCTTTTTTTTTTTTTTTTTTCTTGGACTGGCAACACGGATATGCAGTCGTGCGGTTGAACAGGTTGACGGTCCGAATTTGTTGTGAAGGGACGTGGCGAATAGTTGTACACTTTTTGTGCAGTCCACCGAGGTGGGCAATGGTCAAAGGAATGACATGTTAACGTTAACTTCAATTGTGACTTCAATTTTGACTTCTTTTTTAACTGCAATTCTGACTTCATTTTTCAGTTCCATTTTGACTTTTTTTTTTTTTTTTCCCAAAATAGACGTAATTGGTTCACCACAGAGGAAATTTGCGCAGGAATCAATTTTGGCAACGTCCCAGTTGCGCATGCGGGGGCTACTTAACGTTTTTTTTTTCTTTCAGATACATTGGTGTTGGCAGCTCCGTTTTTCTGAAATTATTTTTTCGCGCATAAGTTGGCCAGCACCAGGCAATGCTTCGTCTTTGCGCGGTGAAACCATAGGAAACTGGGAAAACCGCACAACTGATTTACATATACATCGGCACACCTGCATGGTGAAAAAAAAAAATTTGGACATTTTTCTCTTTCCCGTTGCTATACACACATTGTGTTGACGCACCTGCTCTGTTACGGTTCCCGTGTTGCGATTTTTTTTTTTACTTTTTTTTCTTAACCTTACAACGATTTAGTTAAAGGAAAAACACCACACGCTCCACATATGTACTTCTCCTTCATCAAGATGAACAGAGGGATTAATTTGTTTTTCTCCTCCTTTATCTGCCTTTTCTTGCTGGCCCAATATCCAACATGGGGTGCAGACACTCCAAATGGGGTCCCCAACCTTCCTAATGGGCAGAATAATTTGCTAAACTCGTTGAAGAAAAAGTTGGATAACTTAAATGAAATTATGGGAGATGATGTGTCGGAAGATTCCGATGAAGTGAATGAATTGGAAAAACACGAAGAAGAAAATGTAGAAGTGGAGCAGGAGGAGCAGCAGGAGGAAGAGGAGGAGGAAGAGGAGGAAGATCAGGACGAAGAGCAGAAGGAAGGGCAGAAGGAAGATCAGGAGGAAGATCAGGACGAAGATCAGGAGCAGCAGGAGGAGCAGCATGGCGACACTTTGGAATACACGTTGGAGGATCCCAAGGAGGGAAACGAAGAAAACGAAAATGACCCTCAGAAAAGCACCCATCTCAAGAAGGACGCGGATTTCATGGGAAAATGGAGTACAGTCATGGCGAATGAGGAAGATGAAGCAAAGGGTCAGAATTCCCAAGAGGATGCGCAGAGGAATTCGGACACAAACACACCTCCATCAAAACCTGTGAAAGGGGCCACTGAGGTGGTTTCCACTACAGAGGCTGCTACAACACTAACAAATCCGAAGGGCACCTCTGGAGAAGTAGAACAACAACGTGTCCAACCATCGGAAGTTAAACCAGCAGGTGAACAGACTGGGGAAACTGAAAACCAGACAGTTGTTACGCCATCGGGACAATCAGGAACGAACACAGTGGACCCCCAAGCAAATCCTACCCCTGCAGCAGAAAGTCAACAAGAAGGCCCAGTAACCGGAGGTAATCAACAAGGAACATCGCCACCTGCAGGAGGCCCTCCACAATCTCCCCCTGCAGTCTCACAAGGAAATAAACAACCAGCTGTAACTTCACAAACAACATCAGAAGTCTCTCCGAAACCAATATCAGCAGTCACTCCACCAAAAACCATCACTAACTCGGACGATGTCAAAATTAAGTACTTGGACGAGCTTTATGATGAGATTATGAACATCTCGGACAGAACCAACGACATTAACAAGCAAGCTTATGACAGCAAATACAGCACGATAAAGAAGAAGTACAAGCTTAGCATGAACCCTGTGGAATATCAAATTGTGAAGAATCTATTTAACGTCGGATTTAAGAAAGAGGGGGAAACTTCAGTTACTACTTCCCTGAGTGAAGTTTTTAAAAAAGTCCTAGATGACGAGAAATCTCAAGAACAGTTCGACAACTTTGTAGAGGGGCTGTACGGATTTGCTAAGAGACACAGCTACTTAGGTAAGGATGGGATGGACAATACAAGGTACTCCGATCTGCTAAAGAATGCCATCAGCTTGATGAACACTCTTGAGGTGAATTGATTGACTGGCACTGCCTCAGGATTAATTCTTCTAGAGACGTTGAGCATTTTGAAAGAAGCGAAAAATCCATTTTTGTAAATCAATTTAGTTAAGTGTTTGTATTGTTTTTTAAATATGATTCAAACTTCATCAACTTGTGCGTTTTCAAACAAAAAAAAAAAAAAAAAAAGAATTGCTTGCCGTTCGACTTGTGTATTTTTTATTTTTTCATAAAGGTGCAATATCGCAATGTACTCTTGTTGCGTTTTTGAAGTTGGCAAAATAAGTTCATTTTTTTTTGTGGGGAGGGACATTTTCCGTTGCACTAACAATTTGGTGCATCGCCCTGACTGTCGCGGTCGAAAGTGCACTCCTTTGGCCCTCGTACTTCCTTCGCATGACTCGTTTGCAATTTTGCAGTTTCGCGATTATAAACTTGTTGCTTCCAATTTTGCGAATTTTTTTTTTTCAATTCCCTCGTGTTGAGACACCAAACTGGCACGGAGCTGACCGGCCCATAACCTCTGCTGACCCCTCTGCAATGACGTTCACTCGTTTTGAGAAAAAAATTGCAGACGAAGTACCTCTTTGGAATAGTCAGTTAACTTAGACCCGTTTTGTCAGGAAGGATGAAAAAGACCGTGTCCACAAAGACATAAAGCAATTTTATTTTACTGTTATTATGAACATCTCTTTTGCGTCCTTTTTTTTTTTTATACACTAAGGTCGATTTTTATAAATTGAGATTTCTTTACTTTATTTGGAAGGCGCGGTGAAACACGTCCACCTATAGGGGTGTCCCTCGCTGAAATTATTTCAGTGCTCATTCATTTATGCATTTAATTATTTACTTATTTATTTTATTTTCTTAACCTGTTAACTAGACAGCCCATCAGTTGATGCAGTGCGTCCACGAGTTTTATCCAAAGGAACACCATCAGACAGTTTTTACACTCCCCCTTTCGCTTACATCGTAAGCAGGGTATTTATTACTTCCCCAAAATGGGGGGAAAAAAAATTGCACTATTCCTGTCCATTGTGATACTCCTCCTTCTCTGCTGCTGCGTATGGTGTGAAAAATCCAGAGTGGAAAATAAAAAAAAATTGGAGGATGATGTCATAAGCATACTGAGGAGGAAGCTCGAGAGTTTGCAAAAAGAGAGCTTAACAAATTCGGATGGAAATTTAAAGAAAGAAATTGAATTGGTGAAGATGCAAATTCAAGATTTGCAGAAATATGAAAAGGGGGATACTGGCAAAAAGGTGGACCCCACTTTGGGGGAGAAACCAGGAGTTGAGTCTGTAAAGGGACAACCTTTCAGTTTGGAAGAGGCAGGAGACAGACAAGATGCAGAAGGATTGGATGAGTCATATCGATTGGACTACTTAGAAGGCGTAGAAGACTATGAGGAGGAGATCCTTGAGCAGATGGAGCAAGTGGAGGTGCCTGAGGTAGTCGAAGAAGCGGGTGATGCAGAAGAGGAGCAACCCGCCTATGGCGAGGAGGATGACAGCCTTCCGGACGTGGTGCCTGACTCGGTAAAAAGAACGGCAGAGGGTGTAATCGATGAATTCGAAGAGGCAGAAGAAGACGAAGGTGCAGATGCGGATGAAGCTAAGTTAGAAAGTTCCACTTCGGCAAGTAGTGCGCTAGTAGGAGGATCACCACTGGGAGGAAGCACAGAGGAGGAAAAAGAAGAAGAAGAAGAAAAAGGAAAAGATGTCATGCAGGGAAACTTCCAGTTAGAGGAACAGGGAAAAGATGACGTCCCGGGGAACTTCAAGTTAGAGAAAGAAACTAAGAAGAGAGGACAACCTCTCCGTGAGACATCATCAGACGGAGACAAGGCCATAAAACCTCCCCTGAGTGGACAGAAACCAAATAAGGAATGCTTTAACAAACTGCACAAGGACGTAGGCTTAACTAAAGACAGTGCCAACCAGATAAACCCTCCACCAATGGACGACAAAGGTAAGGACGAGGGACAAAAATATAAATCTCCGACTCAGAATGGGGACAACTCAGTGGGGGCAAATAACTTCGGAGGCTGTTCCCAGGGAGAAAATTCAAATGGCACCTGTCCACTGGACATTTTTAAAAAAGTGTTAGAAGACGAAAACTTCTTACAAGAGTTTGACAATTTTATCCATAACCTGTATGGATACTCGAAGAAGGACACCCCCTGCGGAAGAGACCAAATGGAAAATGAGAACCTCTACATGGATCTCTTAACAAACGCGCTAAGTTTCCTCAACACGATTGAAGTGATTTAAGCGGTTGGAATATTTTTTCCGCTAATCTTCTACCATTCAGTATTGTACTTTTTTTGTTATTGTTTCATATTTTTTTAATCATGGATGGATGGACAGGTTTTTCAGAGGCTTTTCACATGGCTTCGCAGCTCTCATTTAAAAGGCGTAATTTGTTTTTAATGTCATTTCATAGTAACCCTGGTAAATACATGAGCATATATGATGGGCGATTGGACATGTGCAAATAAGTAACTGTGCAAGGAACACTTTATTATTATTTTTTTTTTCCTTTAAAACGGTTGATCAATGAGGCGCTAAAGTTGTTCAACTTTCGCGGGAGCCAACCCTTCCCACAAGGTTACTTTGGCAGTTATGTGATGTCAATTTTGTGTGCTTTGTTCTGTTTCCTACCCTTTTGGTCTTCCCCTTCGAAGGAACCGATTTTGGGAAGGCGACCGCCTCTGCCTACTCGGTCGTTCGTCACGTTCCCATTTGGTTCAACATATTGATGAAAAATTGGGAAAAGAAGGCGAAAAAGACTTTGAAAAGGAGCCGCAATAATCAAAAATCGTGGTATATGCAATTTTAGACTTTGCTATTTTTCCTGCTTTCAGAAAAAAGCGGCATCACCGTTATAATTTTTCATTTAAATTTCGAAGCTGGTAGTTCTGTGCGCATACTCATATGAACAAAAGGTACATACCTACATGCACACATACGGACATGCATACATACGTACCTGTGTGTGTGTATTTTTGTTTTTTTTTTCCCCTTTGTCTGCGTGAATGAGCGAAGCGCGACACCCAACTTAACAACTCTCTCTGATGTCCTTTAAAAAAGAATCCTTCTTGGGATGTAGCCCCATTTTGATATCCCCTCCTTACAAAAGGGATTAGCATAATTTACCAGAACGTTAGCTGTACTTCACATTAAGATGTACAATTTGACGAACTAGGAAAGGACAAAATTTCTCATGGGTTGGTCCACTTCAAGTTCACTCAAATTAGCCATTCGAAAGCAGAAGACGATGGTGCCATTCTCCACCTCTGGCCAAATATTTTGTTCTATAGTCAGGTTGGCAGTGCTCACAAAATTAGCATCGATTCCTTGGGGTGAATTAAACAACTCGCATCTTTTTCGCTTCGGAAATGAACATACACAGGCATGCTCATATGTTTGCAAATGAATATAAAAGAATGAGATCTTTTTTTTTTTTTTTTTTGGCGCAGACTAAACCATGAGTATTCTCCCCCATTTGGCATAACCACCTTTTAACGATTTTCACACATTATCTGGGTAGATAAAACTGGGACGATAACAAATTTGGGACGAAATTTCGTTTTTCCCAAATGGACGGCATGGAAACACACATAATGGAGAATAGTAACCCCCGTGGAAGGAGTTAACTTCCCCAAAGTTTGTAATGCTCATATGGTGTGGCGAGAAAAAATCTTTTTGTCGACCTCCGTCTGCTGCCGGATTCGTTTAATGCGTCCATTTTTCGCTGAAAGCGTCTTTTTTTATTCTCATTACTGGGTAATTTAAAATGGGGGCAAATAATTGCAAAAGGAAAAACATAAAAAAAAAAAAAAAAAAAATATGAAAATAGAAAAATATAAAAACATAAAAATAAGAAGAAACTCTCGATCATGGGTGCATATATTCATACACACTCGAATGCACAAGTGGCAGGAGTGAAAATCTTTTGGCATTTGTTCCCCCCCTTAGAACACACATTTTAGAAGATAATTTTATGTTATATTTTTGCGCGGATCGATAGTTTCCTTTTTCCAATTTTTATGAAAAAGATGAAGAAAACGATCGTGATTTTTTTCTTCTCCTTTTCCTTTTTAATTTCCTTTCGCTTCGTGCTGTCTGAAAAGCATGGCATCCAGAAGAAGAAGAAAAATCTGGAGGAGGACGACATGCACATGTTGATGAAGAAGCTGGAAAGTTTGTACAAACTCAGTGCTACGGACAACAGCGAAGATTTTAACAAAGAAATTGAGGCTTTGAAGAAACAGATTGATCATCAGCAGCAACCTGGTGACGACAACGAAGGGGAAAGTCCAGGCCACCTGCTAGAAAACGAGGCCGCAGACGATTCGGGCAAGAAAACAATTTTTGGAATGGACGAAGACGACCTGGATAAGGACGATGGGGACTTGGCTGGACAGAGCAATGGCAAATTTAAGGGACAGTCAAGTACGGATCAAAAGAAAGTGGACGGAAATGATGAAAAGTCTGGGGAAACATCTAGTGCGGGAGAGCATTTGACAGATAAATCAGCTACCGGACCGTCCACAGAAGCTTCGGATTCCCAGCGTCCTTCTCAACCCCTAACTAGTCGCGGTAGTACAGAAGGAGGATCATTAGACGCAACAAACACAGAAACTTTAAGTGAATCAAGTCCGACTACCTCAACAAATGGATCACAAGAAAACGATGGAGTTGGAACCCCCCTAGGGAATAATGGACCAGACAACTCAAATACAGAACCTACACCCCTCCCATCGGCGGCTCCAGAAAGCCCGGAAACTTCATCATCCCCAACGCAACCTACATCATCCCAAGCCCCAGCTACATCACCCCCAGAGACAGCTCCATCCCCCACAACGCCATCTCCATCATCCGCATCGGTATCAGCAGGTGTAGGCGCTGCTGGGGGACAGTGTCCAAAGGGAGGCACCCTGGATGTGAAGTACCTGGACAAGCTCTACGATGAACTACTTAAAACAACAGAAGGAAAGGATGGAATTCACGTCCCCCTTTTCCACAGCAAATATAATGACTTTCGAAAGAAGTACGAGCA